TTCAAATATAATAAAAAATATGTATGTTAATTTGCAGAAATATCAAAAGAAGTAGTAGTCTTAGAGGGTGGTTGGAAAAAATTCAACAAAGAACTCATTGTAAGGTATGGGATAATTGTTTAAATTATTTTCATTGTTAACTTTTATTTGTATTTGACTTTATCAAGATTTTTTGAGAATTAATAGAAAAATTGAATATCTGATGTAGGTGAAAAATAGGAAGAAGTTTTAGACCAAGCAATGGTAAGACGATGTATTGGAGACATAATTCACTAATAATTTATATTCTAATGATAGAGACTATGTATTATGCACTAAATATATCTTCAACCATTACCATTAGCCAAAATAAAAGGGTCCAAATCTCTATGACTCGCATCAATCATGTTGCATTATGAACGAAACTGAATTGTTTCAACAGATTTTCTGCTGGCTTAGAAAATGGTGAACTGTATTTTGACATGGAGTCACAACTGTGTTCAACTTCGGATGATGATGACTGCGAACCGTTGAAAGATATCTTCAATGATATGCTTATTCCAATACCATTTCGTTATCCTGATGGTACATTTGGATGGAGAGAAAGTAAGCTATCCTTGAAAAATAAGTCTTATATAATGGTTACTTTTGAATGTAGTAGTGGATTCAGTTTACTAAAATCTGACGTTCTATTGCATTTAATATTAAATTTTATTTTGCAGTTAATATAAAAAAATATTTTGCAAGGTCCGCGATGGAACGAATATTTAATGTCACAGAAATACCTAAAGAGGGCGTTGTTGAATATATAAAGGATCATGTGTTAAGGTATTGGCAGAATTTGCTTGACAGCGGTGTAGAAATTATCAATGGCGTTTTGAATGTTAACGTAAAAATGAAACTGAATACGATGTCAATCGAAGGCAATAACGAAGGGAAATCTGAAGGTAGGCTATCTTTTGCAAATATCTTTGTATTCTATGAAACGCCAACGTTAGCAATTGATGAACATTTTTATCTGTTTTTGTAAATTAGTAATTCAAATATTTATAAACTATAATTTAATGAATTGAATAGTAGGGACAAAGTATAACCTAATTAATGTTGTATTCTGATTTCTTTAATACCTAATACTTCATATACTTACGTAAACCTTATCCAGCTGCAAAAGACACAATTATTTCGAGATTTTGATGACCTTGTATTTGCACAGAAAAATAATTTTTAATAAATATTCACCAAGTAGTGTACAGTACTATAAATAGGCTTGTTTTTGCTTCTGAAGGTGAACGAACTAGCAGAAGAACCAAGGCACCATTTAAACTGGAAAAAATCACAGATTCAATAAACGAATGCCCAGCAGTAGCAGGTAAAGTGACAGAACCATTAAAAAATTTGGAGGGGTTGGATTTAAGTGGAATATGTAAGAATTAAAAGATGTATATTTAGAATTAGATGCATTCTTGGATTTGATCTACTTGTGAACCTGTTTGTTGAAAGGGCGCCGTCTATTGGCGCGCTGTTATTGCTGGGATTTTTTATGTGTTTCGTGCGCACATGTAACGTCCATGTCGTAGCACAAAGTCTTTAGAATAGATTATGATGACAACAAAATTATCTACATACAATTCCAATATTTACATTTGTAGCAGATGGTTTGTGAGAATCCCTGCCAAATTCCCCCAGCTATAGCGTCTGAAGAGTTAGAATAATTATTGTATTACAATAATTATTCTAACTCTTCATTTAAAATGGACCTATGTAGGCCTGTTCGATCTTTAAAATCTATTCAAATTCTACTGTTAGTTTCAAAAGGGAACTAAAATTCTTCCTTTAAACAAATCATAATTGTTTTTATATAATCTTTGTTTTCAGAACTTCTCGCTGAGATTGTCCCAGACTTCAGTGTTCTTCCTCGTGGTATAAATGGTAGCCTACGAGCAATTGGAGGAGGTTTGACGGGTATGTCATCATGTTCATTTTATTTCCTTAATTTAGTTTTATTATAAAATAAAATATTTTTTTATGTTTTTTCTGAATTTTACTTTACCTACACGATAATATTTTAATCATTTTTCAGAGCATGGAGTTAAAGCATTTCTTGTTAAAATTATGAATATGACCATCCAAGATTTTGAGGCAACAGTGGATTTGCACAATATTCTGTCAAACAATATTCAAGATGTGATGACGACGATGGTGGAAGAATATAAGAAAAAGGTTAATACCATGAACATACCCAATATTTCTTTAATTTAATTTCATAAGACATTTGTCATTTTTCTTTTGCTAATTCTTTAGTTTTATTAAATAACATATTTCACTTCCTTTTTTTTGATTTATGTATTGATGGTTCCTAATGATCAGCTCCAGTTGGATGGACCACCCTCACAAAATATTGTTGAAATAAAATAAAGAAATAAAATCTTTTACCCC